GTACACTTTTCAGGGTGAAAAAGCTTACAGGAAGGGAGTTTGCATTTTCTGTTGTCATATGGGCATGACATTTTCTAGGGTGGTCATAGTTGCATGTCCCATCTGTTTTTCCAGATTTCCCATGCCAGCAGATACCAAGTGCATAGTATGTGCACAGGCTTGGTTTCCGTTTGCCTTGGGTTTCTGTGACTGTATTCCTGTTGGTGCATGTTTCCCTGTCTTATTCCTATCCTCCTTAGCACCAACAATGGAGCTCCCACCAGTTGTTTTTGGTAATTTATCCTCACTATTGCTATTGGAGTCCTCTTGTTTGCTATTTCCTGCGGTATTTCTGGTTTGCAATATTGGTTTTATCTTATCTTTGACTACACTTGTTTCCCTACTATGGCTCCTGTCCTCTATGAGGTCATTTATATGTATTCCTTCCTGCGTATAATTCCCGACTACCTGGACAAAATCTCCAGCTTCACCATTACTGTCTACCAGGACAGTATCTCCAGCTTCACCATGTACCTACATGGATGTACCTACATACAGGTACCTACATACAGGCACCTACATACAGGCACCTACAGACAGGCACCTACAGTCAGGCACCTACATACAGGTACCTACATACAGGCACCTACATCCAGGCACCTACATACAGGTACCTACATACAGGCACCTACATCCAGGCACCTACATACAGGTACCTACATACAGGCACCTACATACAGGCACCTACAGACAGGCACCTACAGATAGGCACCTACAGTCAGGCACCTACAGACAGGCACCTACAGACAGGCACCTACGTACAGGTACCTACATGGAGGTACCTACATACAGGTACCTACATACAGGCAACTACATACAGGCACCTACATGGAGGTACCTACATACAGGTACCTACATACAGGCACCTACAGACAGGCATCTACAGACAGGCACCTACAGACAGGCACCTACATACAGGTACCTACAGACAGGCACCTACATACAGGTACCTACATACAGGCACCTACATACAGGCACCTACAGACAGGCACCTACATACATGTACCTACATGGATGTACCTACGTACAGGTACCTACATACAGGCACCTAAAGACAGGCACCTACATACAGGTACCTACATACAGGCACCTACAGACAGGCATCTACAGACAGGCACCTACATGCAGGTACCTACATGGAGGTACCTACAGACAGGCACTTACATACAGGTACCTACATACAGGCTCCTACATACAGGCACCTACAGACAGGCACCTGCAGATAGGCACCTACATACAGGCACCTACAGACAGGCACCTACAGACAGGCACCTACGTACAGGTACCTACATGGAGGTACCTACATACAGGTACCTACATACAGGCAACTACATACAGGCACCTACATGGAGGTACCTACATACAGGTACGTACATACAGGCACCTAAAGACAGGCATCTACAGACAGGCACCTACAGACAGGCACCTACATACAGGTACCTACAGACAGGCACCTACATACAGGTACCTACATACAGGCACCTACATACAGGCACCTACAGACAGGCACCTACAGATAGGCACCTACAGTCAGGCACCTACAGACAGGCACCTACAGACAGGCACCTACGTACAGGTACCTACATGGAGGTACCTACATACAGGTACCTACATACAGGCAACTACATACAGGCACCTACATACAGGTACCTACATACAGGTACCTACATACAGGCACCTACAGACAGGCATCTACAGACAGGCACCTACAGACAGGCACCTACATACAGGTACCTACAGACAGGCACCTACATACAGGTACCTACATACAGGCACCTACATACAGGCACCTACAGACAGGCACCTACAGACAGGCACCTACATACATGTACCTACATACAGGCACCTACAGACAGGCACCTACAGACAGGCACCTACATACATTCACCTACATGCAGGTACCTACATACAGGCACCTACATACAGGCACCTACAGGCAGGCTCCTACAGACAGGCACCTACAGACAGGCACCTACAGACAGGCACCTACAGGCAGGCACCTGCAGACAGGCACCTACAGACAGGCATCTACAGACAGGCACCTACAGACAGGCACCTACCTGGAGTTTACCTGGAGAGAGTTCCGGGGGTCAACGCCCCCGCGGCCCGGTCTTTGACCAGGCCTCCTGGTGGATCAGAGCCTGATCAACCAGGCTGTTGATGCTGGCTGCACGCAAACCAACGTACGAGCCACAGCCCGGCACCTACATACAGGTACCTACATGGAGGTGCCTACATACCGGCACCTACATACAGGCACCTACAGACAGGCACCTACAGACAGGCACCTACAAACAGGCACCTACAGACAGGCACCTACAGACAGGCACCTACAGACAGGCACCTACATACAGGTACCTACATGGAGGTACCTACATACAGGCACCTACATACAGGCACCTACATACAGGTACCTACATATAGGTACCTACATACAGGTACCTACATATAGGTACCTACATACAGGTACCTACATATAGGTACCTACATACAGGTACCTACATATAGGTACCTACATACAGGTATATAAGATAAACAACCAATTATATTTTAAGTATATTCAAATATGATAAAGAAACAATACAAAGAAACAAAGAAATAATACAAAGAAACAAAGAAAAAATACAAAGAAACAAAGAAACAATACAAAGAAACAAAGAAAAAATACTAGTGACATAACTTAAATTTATCTAAATTTAAAACCGTTATATTTCCTGACGGACAAACATTATGAATGACAAGTGACGGGGCCAGGAGCTATGACTCGACCCCTGCAACCACAGTTAACTGAATACAAGAATTAGGTTAGCAGACAAGTTGAAATTTCCTGGCAGAAAGGTACCTAAACCCTGGCAGAAAGGTACATAAACCCTGGCAGAAAGGTACATAAACCATGGCAGAAAGGTACCTAAACCCTGGCAGAAAGGTACATAAACCCTGGCAGAAAGGTACATAAACCATGGCAGAAAGGTACATAAACCCTGGCAGAAAGGTACATAAACCCTGGCAGAAAGGTACATAAACCCTGGCAGAAAGGTACATAAACCCTGGCAGAAAGGTACATAAACCCTGGCAGAAAGGTACATAAACCCTGGCAGAAAGGTACATAAACCCTGGCAGAAAGGTACATAAACCCGGGCAGAAAGGTACATAAACCATGGCAGAAAGGTACATAAACCCTGGCAGAAAGGTACATAAACCCTTGCAGAAAGGTACATAAACCATGGCAGAAAGGTACATAAACCATGGCAGAAAGGTACATAAACCCTGGCAGAAAGGTACATAAACCCTGGCAGAAAGGTACATAAACCATGGCAGAAAGGTACATAAACCCTGGCAGAAAGGTACATAAAGACCTGGCAGAAAGGTACATAAACCCTGGCAGAAAGGTACCTAAACCCTGGCAGAAAGGTACATAAACCCTGGCAGAAAGGTACATAAACCCTGGCAGAAAGATACATAAACCATGGCAGAAAGTTACCTAAACCCTGGCAGAAAGGTACATAAACCATGGCAGAAAGGTACCTAAACCCTGGCAGAAAGGTACCTAAACCCTGGCAGAAAGGTACATAAACCATGGCAGAAAGGTACATAAACCCTGGCAGAAAGGTACATAAACCATGGAAGAAAGGTACATAAACCCTGGCAGAAAGGTACATAAACCATGGCAGAAAGGTACCTAAACCCTGGCAGAAAGGTACATAAACCATGGCAGAAAGGTACCTAAATTCTGGCTGGAGGTACATAAATCCTGGCAGAAAGGTACGTAAATCCTGGCTGAAGGTACATAAATCCTGGCAGAAAGATACATAAATCCTGGCTGGAGGTACATAAATCCTGGCAGAAAGGTACATAAATCCTGGCTGGAGGTACATAAATCCTGGCAGAAAGGTACGTAAATCCTGGCTGGAGGTACATAAATCCTGGCAGAAAGGTACCTAAACCCTGGCAGAAGGTACATAAATCCTTGCAGAAAGATACATAAATCCTGGCTGGAGGTACATAAATCCTGGCAGAAAGGTACATAAACCCTGGCAGAAAGGTACATAAACCATGGCAGAAAGGTACATAAACCATGGCAGAAAGGTACCTAAACCCTGGCAGAAAGGTACATAAACCCTGGCAGAAAGGTACATAAACCATGGCAGAAAGGTACCTAAACCCTGGCAGAAAGGTACATAAACCATGGCAGAAAGGTACCTAAACCCTGGCAGAAAGGTACCTAAACCCTGGCAGAAAGGTACATAAACCATGGCAGAAAGGTACATAAACCCTGGCAGAAAGGTACATAAACCATGGCAGAAAGGTACATAAACCCTGGCAGAAAGGTACATAAACCATGGCAGAAAGGTACCTAAACCCTGGCAGAAAGGTACATAAACCATGGCAGAAAGGTACCTAAATTCTGGCTGGAGGTACATAAATCCTGGCAGAAAGGTACATAAATTCTGGCTGAAGGTACATAAATCCTGGCAGAAAGATACATAAATCCTGGCTGGAGGTACATAAATCCTGGCAGAAAGATACATAAATCCTGGCTGAAGGTACATAAATCCTGGCAGAAAGGTACATAAATCCTGGCTGGAGGTACATAAATCCTGGCAGAAAGGTACATAAATCCTGGCAGAAAGGTACATAAATCCTGGCTGAAGGTACATAAATCCTGGCAGAAAGGTACATAAATCCTGGCTGGAGGTACATAAATCCTGGCAGAAAGGTACATAAATCCTGGCTGGAGGTACATAAATCCTGGCTGAAGGTACATAAATCCTGGCTGAAGGAACATAAATCCTGGCTGGAGGTACATAAATCCTGGCTGAAGGTACATAAATCCTGGCAGAAAGGTACATAAATCCTGGCTGAAGGTACATAAATCCTGACTGGAGGTACATAAATCCTGGCTGAAGATACATAAATCCTGGCAGAAAGGTACATAAATCCTGGCTGAAGGTACATAAATCCTGGCAGAAAGGTACATAAATCCTGGCAGAAAAGAACATAAATCCTGGCAGAAAAGAACATAAATCCTGGCAGAAAAGAACATAAATCCTGGCAGAAAAGAACATAAATCCTGGCAGAAAGGTACATAAATCCTGGCAGAAAAGAACATAAATCCTGGCAGAAAAGAACATAAATCCTGGCAGAAAAGAACATAAATCCTGGCAGAAAAGAACATAAATCCTGGCAGAAAAGAACATAAATCCTGGCAGAAAAGAACATAAATCCTGGCAGAGAAGAAATTCATCTCAAAAATCGCCACTTAGAGAGCGAATCTTAGGACGAGGTTTCGGTATCTGGTGAACCATCGTCAGTCACTGGACGGACCGAAAGGTGCGCGTTAATTTCCAGTGGTTGAAGCCACTCCATCAGCTGCCCTCCTAGACGGCAGGGGTGGAAGGCAGCACTCCACCAGCTGCCCTCCTAGACGGGAGGGGTGGAAGGCAGCACTCCACCAGCTGCCCTCCTAGACGGGAGGGGTGGAAGGCAGCACTCCACCAGCTGCCCTCCTAGACGGGAGGGGTGGAAGGCAGCACTCCACCAGCTGTTCTCCTAGACGGCAGGGGTGGAAGGCAGCACTCCACCAGCTGCTCTCCTAGACGGCAGGGGTGGAAGGCAGCACTCCACCAGCTGTTCTCCTAGATAGCAGGGGTGGAAGGCAGCACTCCACCAGCTGCCCTCCTAGACGGCAGGGGTGGAAGGCAGCACTCCACCAGCTGCCCTCCTAGACGGCAGGGGCGGAAGGCAGCACTCCACCAGCTGCCCTCCTAGACGGCAGGGGTGGAAGGCAGCACTCCACCAGCTGCCCTCCTAGACGGCAGGGGTGGAAGGGGAGCACTCCACCAGCTGCCCTCCTAGACGGCAGGGGTGGAAGGCAGCACTCCACCAGCTGCCCTCCTAGACGGCAGGGGTGGAAGGCAGCACTCCACCAGCTGCTCTCCTAGACGGCAGGGGTGGAAGGCAGCACTCCACCAGCTGCTCTCCTAGACGGCAGGGGTGGAAGGCAGCACTCCACCAGCTGCTCTCCTAGACGGCAGGGGTGGAAGGCAGCACTCCACCAGCTGCTCTCCTAGACGGCAGGGGTGGAAGGCAGCACTCCACCAGCTGCTCTCCTAGACGGCAGGGGTGGAAGGCAGCACTCCACCAGCTGTTCTCCTAGATAGCAGGGGTGGAAGGCAGCACTCCACCAGCTGCCCTCCTAGACGGCAGGGGTGGAAGGCAGCACTCCACCAGCTGCCCTCCTAGACGGCAGGGGTGGAAGGCAGCACTCCACCAGCTGTTCTCCTAGATAGCAGGGGTGGAAGGCAGCACTCCACCAGCTGCTCTCCTAGACGGCAGGGGTGGAAGGCAGCACACCACCAGCTGCCCTTCTAGATGGCAGGAGCGGAAGGCAGCACTCCAACTGCCCTCCTAGACAGCAGGGGTGGAAGGCAGCACTCCTCCAGATGACTTAGAGAGCAGGGGTGGAAGGCAGCACTCCACCAGATGACTTAGAGAGCAGGGGTGGAAGGCAGCACTCCACCAGATGACTTAGAGAGCAGGGGTGGAAGGCAGCACTCCACCAGATGACTTATAGAGCAGGGGTGGAAGGCAGCACTCCACCAGCTGCCCTCCTAGACAGCAGGGGTGGAAGGCAGCACTCCACCAGATGACTTAGAGAGCAGGGGTGGAAGGCAGCACACCCCTGGCACCCACCACTGGCACATCAAAGTCAGGTATGTTGGGCAGGTCTGGGCACGTCTGTACTGTCCCGTCAGCACTCACTTGTAGTGGATACCTGAGGATAGGAAACTATGTCAGGTGACGGTCTTAACTATCAGCACCAAGATCATCTTACTGTCAGCCCCAAAGCAGTGATGATCTCACTGTCAGCACCACCGCAGTGAGAATCTCACTGTCAGCACCACAACAGTGATCTTACAGAAATGTGATGTGAGAATTAAAATTAACTTATAACGACTAAAGTGAACTGGACAGGCTGCAAGCCTGGTCCAGCAACTGGACAGGCTGCAAGCCTAGTCCAGGAACTGACTTCTGCAGTTTAATCCCACCAGTTTTATAGTTATGACGATTGGGGAAGGTCAAAGAAGACCGCGGACAGAGTACAGGCTAGCGGGCCAAAGACTGCAAACCTCACTTAAGATAAAAGATCTCGGGGTGAGTATAATACCGAGCACATCTCCTGAGGCGCACATCAACCAATTAATTGCTGCAGCATATAGGTGCCTGGCAAACCTCAGAACAGCATTTAGATAACTCAGTAGGGAATCGTTCAAGACTATACAGCGTGTACGTCAGGCCTATACTGGAGTATGCAGCACCATTATGGAACCCACACCTGGTCAGGAACGTCAAAAAGTTAGTGAAACTGCAAAAGATTTGAAGCAAGGGCTTCCCCGGAGCTAAGGGGAATGTCCTACGAGATATCATGGGAAAACGACCTAACGACACTGGGGGACAGGAGAGATAGAAGGGACATGATAACGATATAAAATCCACTGAGAGGAATTGGCTAGGTGGACAGGAACAGGATGTTCCAGAGATGTAATAAAGTTGGTAGAATTACCGACAATATGTAAAGTAAAAGGACACAAGTGCAACTAATGTGACATGTTATTGTGGCAACGTTTCGCTCTCCAGGAGCTTTATCAAGTCATTATGGCTTGATAAAGCTCCTGGAGAGCGAAACGTTGCCACAATAAAAATTCACATTAGTTGCACTTGTGTCCTTTTACTTTACATATTCCAGAGATGTGACACAGAAACAAGGGGTCACAACTGGAAGCTGAAGACTCAGACGAGTCACAGGGATATTAGGAAGTATTTCTTCAGTCACAGAGTTGTCAGGAAGTGGATCAATCTGGAGAGCGACTTACTATCCCTACACAGCTTTAAGAAGAAATACGATAAAGCTCACTGAAGGGAGAGAGAGAGAGGGGACCTAGTAGCAACCAGCGAAGAGGCCGGCCAGGAGCTGTGACTTGACTCCTGCAAACTGTTACAAAACCCCAGTTTCTGGTTTCGAGAAAGTCGAATTTACTATTCCAGTTACCTAACAGAAATTAATAAGCTTCTCTACATTACTTCTCATTATAAACTCGGCATCAAATCTCCTTTAACAAACAAAAAATAAAAAATTGTCTGGGAGGATATATACCGAGTTAAAATATCTGACATATGGAGAGAAGTTTATACAGTTTTCTCAGTATATTCCTTTATTTGCCGTCAATAATTATATGATTCCCAAATATCAACTAGGTGGCTCTGGTGGCCTGGTGGTTAACGCTCTCGCTTCACACGGTGAGGGCCTGGGTTCGATTCCCAGCCAGAGTAGAAACATTGGACGTGTTTCTTTCCACCTGTTGTCTATGTTCCCCATCAGTAAAATGGGTACCTGGGTGTTAGTCGACTGGTGTGGGTCGCATCCTGGGACACTGACCTAAGGAGGCCTGGTCACAGACCGGGCCGCGGGGGCGTTGACCCCCGGAACTCTCTCCAGATAAACTCCAGAAGTACATTACTCTGCAGAGATTCAAGAATTTGAATAATGCAAGTATACAAGTATATACAATTTTGAATAAGGATATATATAGTCCAGGCTGGTAATGACTCGACTCAGACAAGTCCCTACCAAGAGTGACGAGCAGTACGTGGTTCCGTCTCACCCACGAACGTCACCCACGGAACGCCACCGTGGGTTAGACAGATAAGATAAGATTTCGTTCGGATTTTTAACCCCGGAGGGTTAGCCACCCAGGATAACCCAAGAAAGTCAGTGCGTCATCGAGGACTGTCTAACTTATTTCCATTGGGGTTCTTAATCTTGTCCCCCAGGATGCGACCCACACCAGTCGACTAACACCCAGGTACCTATTTGCTGCTAGGTGAACAGGACAACAGGTGTAAGGAAACGTGTCGAAATATTTCCACCCGCCGGGAATCGAACCGGGACCTCCGTGTGTGAAGCGGGAGCTTTAGCCACCAGGCCACGTAACTCCGTGTTCTTGATAAACACGTAACTCCGTGTTCTTGATGAACACGTAACTCCGTGTTCTTGATAAACACGTAACTCCGTGTTCTTGATAAACACGTAACTCCGTGTTCTTGATGAACACGTAACTCCGTGTTCTTGATGAACACGTAACTCCGTGTTCTTGATGAACACGTAACTCCGTGTTCTTGATGAACACGGAGTTCCACAAGTCTGGTCCTGGGGCAGAATGGTTGGCCAGGTCATATATTGCTTTTCTCAAAGTCTTGTGATGTTAGGATAATATCAGAAATTTTTGAATCAACCAAATTTTGCGTCTCGGTCTTAAAAAAATAATTAAGACTACACAAACCAGAGTCTAATACACGAAAAAGACAACAGAGCCGATTAAACTTGCGGGCACCACGACTCAACAGCCAGAGAGAGAAAATTATGCTGGATGTAGCGAGGTGTGTGAGGCAGACTTTACAGCTACTCCGGAGACTGAAATAAGCGAGAAGGGGTTAACAGCAGCTGACAGCCAGGCTGACAGCACTTATTACCCTCCCAAGAGATTGAAATAAGAAGCAGGGGTTAACAGGAGCTGACAGCCAGGCTGACAGCCAGGCTGACAGCACTTATTATCCCCCCGGAGATTGAAATAAGAAGCAGGGGTTAACAGGAGCTGACAGCCAGGCTGACAGCACTTATTATCCCCCCAGAGATTGAAATAAGAAGCAGGGGTTAACAGGAGCTGACAGCCAGGCTGACAGCACTTATTATCCCCCCAGAGATTGAAATAAGCAAGCAGGGGTTAACAGGAGCTGACAGCCAGGCTGACAGCACTTATTATCCCCCAGAGATTGAAATAAGCGAGCAAGGGTTAACAGGAGCTGAGAGCCAGGCTGACAGCGCTTATTATCCCCCAGAGATTGAAATAAGCGAGCAAGGGTTAACAGGAGCTGACAGCCAGGCTGACAGCACTTTTTATCCTCCCAAGAGATTGAAATAAGCAAGCAGGGGTTAACAGGAGCTGACAGCCAGGCTGACAGCACTTATTATCCCCCAGAGGTTGAAATAAGCAAGCAGGGGTTAACAGAAGCTGACAGCCAGGCTGACAGCCAGGCTGACAGCCAGGCTGACAGCCAGCTGACAGCACTTATTATCCCCCAGAGATTGAAATAAGCGAGCAGAGGTTAACAGGAGCTGACAGCCAGGCTGACAGCACTTATTATCCCCCAGAGATTGAAATAAGCGAGCAGGGGTTAACAGCAGCTGACAGTCAGGCTGACAGCCAGGCTGACAGCAGTCAGGTCAACCTACTAATTTATATAACTAAAACAAAGACTGAGATAATAATATAAAGAAAAATATTTTGATTTTAAATTATTAATGAAAATATCTCCAATATAAATTACATGAAAAGGTAATATATACATAGAATATACACTGCGTCCTTCTCAAGGTGAGTACACACACACACACACACACACACACACACCCACACACATACACACACACACACACACACACACACACACACACACACAAAAATCACACACGCAAAATCATGGAGAAGATTATCAGGAGAAGAGTGGTGGAACACCTAGAAAGGAATGATCTCATCACCAGCAGCCAACATGGTTTCAGGGACGGGAAATCCTGTGTCACAAACCTACTGGAGTTCTATGACATGGTGACAGCAGTAAGACAAGAGAGAGAGGGGTGGGTGGATTGCATTTTCTTGGACTGCAAGAAGGCGTTTGACACAGTTCCACACAAGAGATTGGTGCAAAAACTGGAGGACCAAGCAGGGATAACAGGGAAGGCACTACAATGGATCAGGGAATACTTGTCAGGAAGACAGCAGCGAGTCATGGTACGTGGCGAGGTGTCAGAGTGGGCACCTGTGACCAGCGGGGTCCCGCAGGGGGTCAGTCCTAGGACCAGTGCTGTTTCTGGTATTTGTGAACGACATGACGGAAGGAATAGACTCTGAGGTGTCCCTGTTTGCAGATGACGTGAAGTTGATGAGAAGAATACACTCGATCGAAGACCAGGCAGAACTACAAAGGGATCTGGACAGGCTGCAGACCTGGTCCAGCAATTGGCTCCTGGAGTTCAATCCCACCAAGTGCAAAGTCATGAAGATTGGGGAAGGGCAAAGAAGGCCGCAGACGGAGTACAGTCTAGGGGGTCAGAGACTACAAACCTCACTCAAGGAAAAAGATCTTGGGGTGAGTATAACACCAGGCACATCTCCTGAAGCGCACATCAACCAAATAACTGCTGCAGCATATGGGCGCCTAGCAAACCTCAGAACAGCATTCCGACATCTTAATAAGGAATCGTTCAGGACCCTGTACACCGTGTATGTTAGGCCCATATTGGAGTATGCGGCACCAGTTTGGAACCCACACCTAGCCAAGCACGTGAAGAAACTAGAGAAAGTGCAAAGGTTTGCAACAAGACTAGTCCCAGAGCTAAGAGGTATGTCCTACGAGGAGAGGTTAAGGGAAATGAACCTGGCGACACTGGAGGACAGGAGAGATAGGGGGGACATGATAACGACATACAAAATACTGAGAGGAATTGACAAGGTGGACAAAGACAGGATGTTCCAGAGATTGGACACAGTAACAAGGGGACACAGTTGGAAGCTGAAGACACAGATGAATCACAGGGATGTTAGGAAGTATTTCTTCAGCCACAGAGTAGTCAGTAAGTGGAATAGTTTGGGAAGCGATGTAGTGGAGGCAGGATCCATACATAGCTTTAAGCAGAGGTATGATAAAGCTCACGGCTCAGGGAGAGTGACCTAGTAGCGATCAGTGAAGAGGCGGGGCCAGGAGCTCGGACTCGACCCCCGCAACCTCAACTAGGTGAGTACAACTAGGTGAGTACACACACACACACACACACACACACACAAGGGGTCACAACTGGAAGTTAAAAAATCAGACGAGTCACAGGGATGTGAGGAAGTATTTCTTCAGTCATAGAGTTGTCAGGAAGTGGAATAGTCTGGAAAGCATGGTAGCGGAAGCAAGATCCATGCACAGCTTTAAGAAGAGGTATGATGAAGCTCATGGGGCAGGGAGAGTTCGATCTAGTAGCGTCCAGTGAAGAAGTAGGGCCAGGAGCTATGAATGGACCCCTGCAACCACAATTAGGAGAGTACACGCACTTTACCTAAGAAAGCGGATTCTGTGTTCATTGTCAAAGGAATCGTCAATATATTTGTTCAAGGCATCGTCAGCCAACTCTCTGATCCTGGTGATGGCTGTCAGTGAGGCTGGGTCTGTCAGTGCTGCGTCCTCCTCTGACAGACCTGACGTGTGTTCCGCCCACAGTGATCTACGGAAATCCCTGACAGCCCCGTCTTCAACGGCTTCTTCTGTGGTTGAGTCGTTGGCACGAACCTGTCAAGAAACAGGAGACTATCATACCCAGTCGTTGGCACGAACCTGTCAAGAAACAGGAGACTATCATACCCAGTCGTTGGCACGAACATGTCAAGAAACAGGAGACTATCATACCTAGTCGTTGGCACGAACCTGTCAAGAAACAGGAGTCTATTATACCCAGTCGTTGGCACGAACCTGTCAAGAAACAGGAGACTATTATACCCAGTCGTTGGCACGAACCTGTCAAGAAACAGGAGACTATCATACCCAGTCGTTGGCACGAACCTGTCAAGAAACAGGAGACTATCATACCCAGTCGTTGGCACGAACCTGTAAAGAAACAGGAGACTATTATACCCAGTCGTTGGCACGAACCTGTCAAGAAACAGGAGACTATCATACCTAGTCGTTGGCACGAACCTGTCAAGAAACAGGAGACTATCATACCCAGTCGTTGACACGAACCTGTCAAGAAACAGGAGACTATCATACCCAGTCGTTGGCACGAACCTGTCAAGAAACAGGAGACTATCATACCTAGTCGTTGGCACGAACCTGTCAGGAAACAGGAGACTATCATACCCAGTCGTTGACACGAACCTGTCAAGAAACAGGAGACTATCATACCCAGTCGTTGGCACGAACCTGTCAAGAAACAGTTGACTATACACTAATAATTATGGGAAGTCGTGTGTGACATTAAAATAAACAAAATAACTTGTGGTTCGATCCTCCGTCCACAAACAACGATTCAAACATCGTACCTGAACGACTGACCAAGATCATATACCAGTGAGATGTGTGTACACAGAAGAGTATTGAAAATATAATTTTTAGAAGCATAATGTATATGATACATATATAAGGGTCATTCAACCCTAGAAGCGCTGGCCACTGATTTTACCCAGAAATATAAGGATAGATTTTGCCGCCGAAGTGGCCAGTTTATTGTGTACCTCATATCCATCCTGTGGATGGTAGTGGCTAGTTTATTGTGTACCTCATATCCATCCTGTGGATGGTAGTGGCTAGTTTTTTGTGTACCTCATATCCATCCTGTGGATGGTAGTGGCTAGTTTATTGTGTACCTCATATCCATCATGTGGATGGTAGTGGCTAGTTTTTTGTGTACCTCATATCCATCCTGTGGATGGTAGTGGCTAGTTTTTTGTGTACCTCATATCCATCCTGTGGATGGTAGTGACTAGTTTATTGTGTACCTCATATCTGTCCTGTGGATGGTAGTGGCTAGTTTATTGTGCACCTCATATCCATTTTGTGGATGGTAGTGGCTAGTTTATTGTGTACCTTATATCCATTTTGTGGATGGTAGTGGCTAGTTTATTGTGTACCTCATATCCATAAACACATATGCAGTATAATGTGATCCTATATTGACAACGTTTCGCCCACACAGTGGGCTTTTTCAAGTCACACACAGATCTACCTGGGGTGGAAGGTACGGGAGTATTTATAGTCATGTTCAGAATGTTGAGGTCAGGTGGAGAATGCTGCATCTGATGATCTACCGGGTGGAGTTATAGAGTCTTGGGTAGCTTGGCAGGGGTATTGGACAAGTTGTGAGTAGACCTTCTGCAGTGTTCTATGTTCTTATGTGGGACAGCGATGAAGAAGTTTCTTGGCGAGTGGTTCAGCTATGTTATAGAAGCCATTGTTCTGGTTGAAATTGTTGGTTATAGAGATAAGCGATGATTCCAGGATTCTTCTCTATTGAGTGTTGTCTTCTGTGGCGATAAGTCTTGAGTTTCTGTAGTTAATTAAATGGTTACACAGCTTACACATTGAGTATCCGTGGTTCGATCCCCGGTACAGGCGGAAACATCGGGTTCGTTTCCTTCAGACATCTGCTGTCACTGTTCACCTAGCAGTAAGTAGGTACCTGGGTGTTCATCACCTTACACCTGCTGTTTCTGTTCATCTAGCAGTAAGTAGGTACCTGGTGTGGGTCGCATCCACGGGAAAAAAATTAACCTAATTGCCAGAAATACTCTGTATAACCACGGGCTTTCTATATACTATATTAGTGATTTTGTCTATGTATGTATAAGATGTATCATGTACTTTCAGAAATGTAATTATTATTATTATTATTATTATTATTATTATTATTATTATTATTATTATTATTATTATTATTATTATTATTTTTATTATTATTATTATTATTATTATTATTATTATTTTTATTATTATTATTATTATTATTATTATTATTATTATTATTATTATTATTTTTATTATTATTTTTATTATTATTATTATTATTATTATTATTATTATTATTATTATTATTATTATTATTATTATTATTATTATTATTATTACTATTATTATTATTATTTTTATTATTTTTATTATTATTATTTTTATTTTTTATTATTATTATTATTATTATTATTATTATTATTATTATTATTTTTTATTATTATTATTATTATTATTATTATTATTATTATTATTATTATTATTATTATTATTTATTATTATTATTATGATACAACAAGCAAACTAAAGGGTTGAAAATCTATCCCAACAGATTTATAGATGACCAGGACACTAAAAACCAATTTACTGCTAAGTGAAAGGCCGAAAAACTAGCACTCAACACCTGTAAACACCACCAATTAACCATACACACCTGGCAAGCAGCTACTGCTACCTCGGTATCGCGAGTACCGTCCAAGGAACGCTGGTTGAGGTTAGCAGAGCCGATTACGATGTGAGAGTCGTCAGCCAGAGCCATCTTGGAGTGGACGTAGATGAGGAAGCGGGACTTGAGTCGCCATTTATACTCCAGAGTGCCAGGAAGAGGCATTTCCTGGCCTCCTGACTGCATCACGTGCCTCTGCGACTCCTTCTGTAACCACGTAACACAATTAAACCACGTAACACAAGTAAACCACGTAACACAAGTAATAACGGTAGAATTTACGACAAATTGTTAGGATGTTAATTAATGGCTTGTAGTGGTACCAGTGGCAGCAGCAGTACTAGTGTCAGTAGTAGCAGTACTAGTGCCAGTAGCAGCAGTACTAGTGTCAGTAGTAGCAGTACTAGTGTCAGTAGTAGCAGTACTAGTGTCAGTAGTAGCAGTACTAGTGTCAGTAGTAGCAGTACTAGTGTCAGTAGTAGCAGTACTAGTGTCAGTAGTAGCAGTACTAGTGTCAGTAGTAGCAGTACTAGTGTCAGTAGTAGCAACGTACCTTCCCTAGGCAAGTGTAGAACGTACCTTCCCCAGGCAGTGTAGGAACGTAACCTTCCCCCGGCAGTGAAGGAACGTACCATCCCCAGGCAGTGATAGAACGATAACCTTGCCCAGGCAGTGTAGAACGTACCTTCCCCATGCCGGAAGGAACGTACCTTCCTAGGCATAGGAGATGAGAACGTAATCACAATGGGTGAACGCACGCGAACCGACACCTCCTTCAACCGCCCGCTGTAGCGATCCTCTTATATTATACATCATCTGGTGAAGAATACTGGTGATAGTAAAAGTAATAATAGTTATTTAATAATATAATAATAATAATAATAATAAATAATAATAAGTAATACGAATAATAATAGTGTTGTTATCTGGAAAGATAGATAGTTTACCATGGAAGAGGAAGACAGGTACCAGGAAAGAATAGACAGGTCCCTGGTAAAGCAAAAAGATAGTACCTGGAAAGAAGACTGGTAACTGGAAAGACAGACAGGTACCTTAAAATCTAAGACGGGTATCTGAAAGATCAGACAGAGTACCACCTAAGAGTACGAAAGACTGGTAACTGGAAAGACAGAACACGTACCTAGAAAGTAAGATAGTACCTGGAAAGCAAGACTGGAATCTGGAAAGGCAGAACAAGTACCTAGAAAGTATGACAGGTACATCTATAGTGAGACAAGTAACATCTATGAGGTAAGATAGGAGTACTATAACTGAGGCGACACTGTAAATAGGTTCAGTGTAGTAAGGGTCAAATCCGGATAAAGAAAATACTACCTGAATATGGGGATAGGTACCTTGCATAGCATAGACAAGGTAAGTAAGATCATGACAGGTACCTGCAATAGCATGACAGGGAATAGAGAGCATGACCAAGGTACCCCGCTAGCATGACAGTACGCAGAGAGCATGACATGGTCCATGCATAGCATGCAGGAAGTAAGATATCAAACAGGTAACCTGGATAGTCAGAGTACTGGTAGTGCAGAATAGACTTGAAGCTGGAACTTACAAGTGGGTTGGCTCTGGATTACCCCGGGCAACATTGTAACAATATACACACGGAAGTCCTCACCAGCCCGATCTAGCTCACCTGGGTAAGAGAACAAAGAAGTAACATGAAATTTTTCACGAGAGTACATGAAACGAACAGGAAATGATCCTCTGTGATTCAATAATAATAAATTGTCGGTATTTTTTAACACAATACGTGAATATTCCCAGCGATATAATTACCATGTCCAGAAGATAATCTAAGTAATATTAAACTCTCAACGAGCAAAATGATTATTAAATAATTTAACAAACTCAAAAAAACGAGTTCCTGGGCCTCGACGAACTATATTCAATTTTTTTTTAATATCTAAATAGAGAACTGTAGCCGCTATAGGGAACTATATAATTCATCAATTCCCAAACTATATGTTTGTACCAGTGAGTGGAAGATGATTAATTCCTATATTTAATCAGGTGAATAATTGCATCAGATTACCGTCCAACTAAACTTACATCTATGCAGCAAACTGTTTAGAAGATCATTATAACCGAATATTAGAAGTTACCCTTAGGAATATAACTTGTTTCGATAATTTGACTTGAATTAGGTCACTGGAGTGTGGGGAAACGTGACAATCAATGACATATACTGCTGTTTATATTTCTATAAAGTTTTGTAAAGTCTGATAGATGATCTCCAGTGGTCCAATGTACCACACACATGAGTGATCTCCATGGTACAAAATGTTACCCACACAACTAGAGTGATCTCCAGTGGTAACAATGTTACCACACATCTGGGTGATCTTCCAGTTGGTACAATGTTTACCACCCACTGGGTGATCTCGCAGTGGTACAAATGTACCACACACTGAGTGGATCTCCAGTAGGTACATATATTACCACACACTGAGTGATCTCCAGATGGTACAGATGTTACCACACCAGACGTTATACTCCAGTGGAACAATGTTACCAAACACTGGGGATCTCCAGTGAGGTACAATATTCTAATGATATTACCAACACTGAGCTGATCTCCAGTGGTAGCAATGGTACCACACACTGATGATCTCCAGTGTACAATGTTTTTATCCGACACACTGAGGGTGAATCTCCAGTGGTACAATGTTACCAACCACTGGTGATCTCCATGGTACAAAATAATGTTACCACACACTGGGTGATCTCCAGTGAACAATGTATACCACATCCTGGTGGTGATCTCCAGTGTACAATGATACCAACCAACAATACACTGGGTGACTTCCAGTGGTACACAATGTTACAACACACACTGTGATCTCCAGTGTGTACAATGTTTACCACACACTGATGATCTCCAGTGGTACAATGGTTACCCACACTGATGATCTCCAGTGTACAATGTTTACCACACACTGGGTGATCTCCATGGAACAACGTATTACATTACCACACACTGAGTGATCTTCCAGTAGGTACAATGTTTACACACACACTGATGATCTCCAGTGTAGAACAACGTGTACTTACCACACACAGAATGATCTCCAGAGGAACAACGTTACCTACACAACACGTGATGATCTCCATTGGTTACAACGTTACTTACCACACACTGAGTGATCTCCAGTGTAACAGACATTACCGACGCACTGAGTGATCTCCAGTGGTACAACGTTACCCACACACTGATGTGATCTCCAGTGGAACAACGTAATACTTACTCACACGCAGAGTGATCTCCAGTGGTACGAGCGTTACTTACCACACGCTGAGTGATCTCCCAGTGTGTACAAGCGATACTTACCACACACAGAAGTATTCACAGTGGTAACCAGACCGTATACGTACCACACGCTGAGTGATCTCCTGGTACAAACGTTACCACGCACTGATGATCTCCAGTGGTACAACGTTACTTATACCAACACATCTGAGTGATCTCCATGGTACAACGTTACCACCGCACTGAGTGATCTCCAGTGGTACAACGTAACTTTACCACACACACGCTGAGTGATCTACAGATGGGGGACAGCGTTACTACTACACGCTGAGTGATCTCCAGTGTGTACAACGTATACCACGCACTGAGTGATCCCTCCAGTGGTACAACGTTAGCTTACCACACGCTGAGGTGGATCTCCAGTGGGAAACAACGTTACTCGTACGCACACGCTGAATGATCTCCAGTGGGTACAAACGTTACCACGCACATGAGTGATTTCCAGGTGGTACAAGACGTTTTACTTACGCACAACGCCTGAGTGATCTCCAGTGGTACAACGTAACTTTACCACACGCGAGTGATCTCCAGTGGTACACCGTTACTTGCACAGGCTGCTGGTCTCCTCCCAGGCCTTCGAACGATCCCACGAAGAACTGTTAAGTTGTTACACTTTATATCTCATCTGTGTAGGCTGTGTCAATTTGTGCATCGGTCTAGGTCTAGACCTAGCCTAGACCTAGACCACACAGATACGACCTAGGCCTAGGATAAAGTTTAATGTGTCAGAGGTGCAGCTTGTAGTGTGGGTCGCATGTGTGTGTTCGGTCTTCTCTCTGTTGGGTACAAATTGAACATCTGTGTCGCACTAACCCTTAAATAAAACACACACACGAAAATACTACAGTTCAAAGTAGCGAATAAAACAAAAACACGGAAAACAAGAGAGAGAGAGAGAGAGAGAGAGGAGAGAGGAGAAGAGAAGAGAGAAAAAAGAGAGGAGAGAAGAGAGAGAGAGAATGTGGGGTTGCTAATCATGCCACAAGCTTCTGGATGAACATATTCCAAGTATCAAACAGACTCGCCGGTGGTTGAAGTTGATGTGTACCAACAGGTGACAAATTTTCCAGTGACTTGATACAGCATTGAAGGGATCAAAATAGGTCCAACTAAGATTGATTCTCACAAAAGTAATGACACGAGAAAGGACATACAACAGAAAAGGATGACAAAAAGACAAGGGTGTATCCTCGACATTGGAGACAACACAAGAAAGATATTAAAGTCCACACACTCACCCTGTTAATATATGTCCCCCTAACCATTATACATTCCATTACTCACACTAGTCTATCCCCATACCCACAATACCTCACCCATACTTTCCAGTTCAAGGATCCTCCTTCACACTCTGCCCTCCTCGCTCCAACCCATTCCCCTTAAGGCTCTATGTTACCTGTACCCCAACCTCCTCAATCCACCACATCATGCATCCAAGATTCTGAACCCCTTCAGTACAAAATAACCCACCACCACCAACCTAATCTCCAACCTCTCCAGGAATCAAGAACCCAAAAACTGGTAAACACCAGTAATGCTCCACTCACAGAAGCTCTGGATGGAATAACAAATATGAATGAAGAATATGGAAAAAACGAATAATGGAGGCATCCCAAGACATACAACAGAGAGACAAGGCTTATGGAGATAATAACCGATGTGATCTTACCATAGCTGAACATTCAGATTCTATACGAAACGACAGAGAGAACAAAGGTTGAAGTTTTGTAAGCACATGCTCCAACAGAGAACCAGAGGAATGGACCGAGGGAAAGCAGAACGCCTAAAAAGACGGAACCCTAGCAGACGGGTACCCAAGGTCGCGTGATAACAGTGAGGCACAACCCTCCATCTGAAAAGCAAGGCGTGGCGCCAACAGGGGGCAAAAGATAGGATACCATATAGATAAGGTGGCCTGATGGGGACTCTCGTTAACTCGGGCAAATCTGCTGTCATAAAGGACTTTAACAACAAGGAGACTGACTGGGAGAACCTGGAGCCACACAAGAACCAGAAATATGGAGACTAATGATGTCCAGGAGGCTGTACTCGAAAACTTAATGCAGCCAACATGTTAGTACGACAACCAGAGAGAGAGAGAGAATAGGATGAACCAACAAGGCTGGACCATGAAGCACACAACTTAGTAGTAAAACAAAATCCATAAACATTTACAAACAGTGAGGCTCCATGACACCCCCGTCCCCCTTCTTGCCGTCTGACTACCAGCAGGCACAAAACACTATAACAGTACTTTCCCCAAAACTTAAACGCGCCTCTGGACCACTAGGGTCTTACAACGGGTAAACAGAGAACCCATTCAACATCAAATAAAATCACCTCAGGTAAAACTTACAAAAAAAAGAACAACCCCCCCCCCTACTTAAACCAAGCCAAACCATGACGACTTCTCAGCCGCCTCTTCTCGTACAGGCCCCACAACACCTCACCCGCCCTGTCTCCTGCCACTCTGCCTGAACCATAGATAATAAGCGTCCGGCAGAACAGATTCAGGGAAAATGACATTACATATGGAGCGTTTTATATAGAGCATTTTTACTGCGAGCACACTGGCGTATGGGTCCTGAGAGTGGGGAAAGATGCTTGTGTCCGCTAGCAACATCATCACACAAATCTATTATCAAACAAAGGTAACTACCAGAGGCGTGGAAGACAGTAAATGTAATTTCCAATTTTTAAGTAAGAAACGACACGCAGCACTGAAAGTTATTGACGACATGTAAAGTAATGAGAGGATTATCAAGCAGAAAGAAGAGGAATCAACCTGAAAGACACTGAGGAATGTAGGTGATAGGGGAGAGCGCATGCAAACGACATATAAAATGCTGAGAGGAACTGCACTGGTGGATTAGGGACAGTTTCTGAGAAGCTGACAACTGCAACAAGGGGTCACAACTGGAAGTAAAAACTTAATGATTCATAGGGATGTTAGGAAAAGAATTTCTATTAGCCTTAAAAGTTGTCAATAATGGAACAACCTGAGAGTGATTAGTGAGGAGAACAAAGAACCCATACATCGCTTTAAGAGAAAGAATCGACATGCGATACAAAGCTGAGCTAAGCCGGAAGAGGTGAACCACTAGTAGCGACCATGAAGACAAGGCGCGAGGCCAAGGGAAGCTCATGACTTACCCCAGCAGAACAACAATCAAGTGAGGGGCAATTAGCGAGTACAACATCACATTACACACACACATACACACACACACACACAACACACACACACACAACACACACACAACACACACACTCACACACACACACACACACACACACACACACACACACACACAACAACATCTTCA